CGGCGTCCACCTGGTGGTTCTCCGCGGCACTGGCCTCCGCGTCGCCGGGGAATTGCAGGGCCTGCACTTCTGTAAGGCGAGCGGGCCGCTCGGCAGGATCAGCGCGGATCCCTGCCTGAAGAAAATCCAAACCCCACCCCGCGCGCACTTCGACGACGGAAGCCCGCGGAGGATGCAGGACCTGGCGTGCACTGTTGGATCTAGAACCAGCTGGAGCTCGATGTGGAACTCATTCAACTCGCTCTGGAATGCCTCCCCGCCGCTGGACGGCGGCGGCACCGTCGAGACTCGCCCCGCGGTCGCGCATCATATCGCCACGAAGACGGAGCTTCAGCACCGATAGCCTGGGACAAACCGGCCGCGAGACCCCAACCAGCTCACGGACGAAACGATGGCTCGAATTGTCCCCCAATGCTCTAGCCGCGATGTTTGGGAGGGCCTCTGAACTAGTCACAAAAACTCCGCTCTGCGGAGGGACTCTAGGCACGGATCGCTCAGTTCAACAATGCGCGACTGGGCCTGCTGAGCCTATGAACGGAACAGCGCGTCGTAGCCCACGTTCGTCTCACCTGCAGCGAGGATCCTGTACAACAGCAGTCGGGGCGCCATCAGTCTCGGTTGCTCCTGAGGTGAATGCCAGAATCGGCACGCACCAGAAGCAAGCCACGGGCACTGCATTTCACGGCGGCACGGCTGCGCCCGAGCGATTGCCAACCGCGGGGGCCGCCGACAGACTGCTGCATGGTCGCCTTCGGCTGGACCGTCTCCAGGGAGTGGCGCCACCGCCCGCTGCCGCAAGAAACTCAGGACGCGTCTCTGGATGGCCAGCGCGGCTGTCGCGAGCCCGCGCAGTCCAGACGCGGAGGGGGCGGGAGAAACGATGCGTCAATGGCTCGCCGTGGCAGCGCCTCCGGGACTAGGCGCAAGGCTCGTCGTCTACACTGAGAAACGCGGACAGCACGTTGCAGCACTCGAACAGCCTTACCACGCCACCCGCCGAGTCCAGCATCCAGTCCGCCACTGAGCTCTGCCACCTGATGCTAGGCAAACAACGGGTCGCCTCGGGGCCGCAAGGATGGAAAGCGGGGGCCTCGGCGCCGAGGCGATGCGCAGTCTGCCAGCGGGGGCCCGATTCCTGAGAGGCCGTCATTGGGCCGCGCGGATGCCGAGCAGCACTGGTACGTCCATGGACGCGCCGAGCCCGTCGATAACTGTCACGGCCCAGCTGTGCGCGAACCAGAGTGGCCGTCTCGCTCGGGGATGGCAGGCACCAGCCTAGCAAAGCGCTGTGGTCCAGGTGCGCTGGGTGGCTGTCCCGATGCAGGCGGCAGTACTCGTCGTCGACGTTCCGGGTGCGCCCAAATCGCCACTGTTCCAGGATGCGAACCAAGGCTGCCAAGTCGTTGGCCCGACTCGGCATAGGCGGAATCAGGGAGTCACGTAGCCCGCCCCCGATGTCATGAAGATCGCGGCTGAAAGCTCGCGCGAAAAGATGCCAGAGAGAAAGCAGGCGGCCCTTGAGCCAAAGGCTACGGAGCTGGTGGGGGTACTTTTTTGGTTCGCGGCTCCAAAGCGAGGGACATGGAGGGGGCACAACGTCCGGGGGCGCGGTACGATGTAAATTGGCGCGAGATTGCCGCAGACTCCAGCGGACAACACACGCAGTGGCGCATGCACATGCCAGGGACAAAATGCCGAGCTGGTGGGAATACGCGAAGCGTATAGAACTTTGCAAGATGGCAGCCTGGTAGGGATGGCACAGGACAGGCGCCAAGCCCACAAGACGACGCGCGCCCATAGCTGGGCCGCCAACCCACGCATCTGTGCCAACGCTCTTCTTGACCTATGAAGAGCTAGAACCTGCTCCCGTGTGCTGTTTGAAAATCCCGCGGCCTTCGTTCCATGAACTATTTCAAAGAACTGGATCACACCTAGCCGCGCATATTGCGACACAATCGAGCAATGTCGAGACGGACAGACAGACCAATCAGGCTCGGGGGGCCGTTCAATAAAACGAGCAAAATCAGCTTGCCCCCCTGGGCCCGCCAGCTTCGAGCAATCCAGCCGTGGCCCAGAGGAAACGACCCCCTGGAAAGGCCTGAAGTCCGGCATGGGCATGCGGAAATCTAATTGAACAAGGACATGATCAGGCCTGGCGATAGCCAGCTCGACGCTTCTGTTGACAACATGGCTGGCGGCAAGCATACTCAACGCAGCGGGGACTGAAACGGAATCAATCCTCCTCGTCGCCACGCCTCCTCGTGTCGGGGTCCAAGTTTTAGAGGCAAGCGGGTCACCTGAGGACTTCGCTGGAAGCATAAACGAGCACGCGAGGAGGAACCTATGGAAGCATGCCCCGTTAAAATGTGCACTATCTCGCGCGATGGGCCCGACTGCTTCTGACGGAATGCCCCCAACGGTGGCACTGGCATCCCACGGCAGGAAAGTAAAGGGGGTGGCCTCCGAGGTTTCCTGAACAACGCTAGCGAACCTGTTCCATCAAGCCTCGATGCCCCCCTTGTCATGCTTGGAATGTGGAGCATGACCCCCGCAGAAGGAACGCGAAACCGAGCCAACCGCAACGTTAACGACGAGCATGGTAGGCTCGGCCACGGCAGCGGTGACTACATGCCTTTTGACCGCACTGTCTGGTAGGTTAGGGACCAAAAGGACGCGCTGGCGGAGCCACACCCCGGGGGGTGGCAGGTCCATGCACGACGAGGAAGTTGCCAATCTCAGCCCAGCCTTGCCTGGGAACTTCGATTTTGCGGCACCAGCAACTAGTATATTGGCCGTTTCGAACTGGGCCGCCAACATCCGCGGCCTAACCGACGCATAGAGCCCGACTGTCACCTTCTTGCCAGCCCCTGATGCACGCAAACTCAACACATTGGCGAAAGCCATTCTTATATCTAGCTTGGACTGCGGCACAAATCCGCGGGACAGGACAGTAGCAGAACCTCCGATCGCAGTCCTCGCTAAAGGGGGGTCATGCTGAGAGCCGCGAGGGGAGATGCGAGGCGGGCAAATGCCCCTCGCGCTCAGAGCATCAGAGACAAGAACGAAATTGCATTGGCACAGTCTGGGGAATTGGACACGAGTGCGCATATCCAGCACATCCATCCACGCCCACTCGGCAGCTCGAAGGTTAGACGCCCAAGGGGTCTAGGGACACACAGGGGGAACTCAACAAACTTCAGGGCAGCTTAAAACGCAAAGGGCATCTGCCATCTCATTAAGAGGATCCCCCAGGTGGGACCGGACGCGGTGGAAGGAAGTAGGGGAACAGACTTGCAGAGCGGGGGGTAGGGATCGAAGGCATCTGGACAGGCCCGCAATGTCTGGCAATCCACCTTCACCTGCTGCTGCATTGACAACCGCAAGACTACAAACGTGAAAGTTAAAATCTTCGCAGTTGGACTGCAAGGCCCATGAGGTGGTCCAAATCATAGCGACAGTCTCTGCCGCCAAACTAGCAGCATGGGCAGGGGGAATAGACAGAGCATCCGAGTCGAGCACTCCTGCAGCGGCTGACGCAGGCACGGCCGAAAAGGCCAGTGGTGTCCCTGCCACGGGCAACTGAGCTGGCATCAGAAACCGAGGTGGCAGAATCATGCCCTGCGGCGGGAACCTCGTCGCCGCCAGTAGCGCCTCGTGCTTGGCGTTCAATGTGTTGAACTGCGTGCCAAGGCTGTTCACACTGGAATCGATACGCTCCTGAACGCAATCAGGTTCCTCGAAAGGCTCGAGATCTGCGCCTGCACAACCGACAAGTCTATGACCTGGGCTGGCTGCACAAGAGGCGTAGCAGGCATAGCGCTCGTCGGCATTATCCTTCTTGTATTGTCCACCTGTTCGTGATCGGTCTCCATCGTGGCCGCTGGCTCCCCCTGAGGCTCTTGATCGGTCGGCTCCATGCTCTCGATTTCCGCCAACGCCTGCTGGTGCCTGAAATTTCTCTCTGTGCACGAAGGGCGTCGAGCTCGAGTTCCTTGGCTAGTATGGCCTGATCCTGCGAATCCATGCGCGCCTGCGATCGCTGCAATGCAGCCCGCTGGCGCTCCTTCTGCTGCTCCTAAGGGCGGCAGAGGTGTATTGCAGTCAACAGGACGGAGTACCACTCTCGCTCCTCCTCTCCTGCGTCGCCGGCCGTCCCCTTCATGCGAATGGCTGCCGCCAAAACTTTCATGTCTGTTCTCCTCCGCGAAATAGACTGCTTCCTCTCTGCATCGGATGCATTATCCTCTGGCAGCTGTGGGAAGCGAAGATGATAGACATCATGAGCGGGGAGGGCAGGAAGACTGTTGAGCGGGGAAGATCCTTGATTGGAATCCTCTTCCTCGTCTACGAAAGTGACTGACGACGATCTCTGTCTCATACGATCTGGCTGGTTCCTTCGTCCTCTGGAAAATCGTCTGGCTGTATTCCGCTGAGTAGGCTGTTGCTCGTCCGACTACTGTTGCCTCACCCACGGATCTCGAACCATACCGTACGCCATGGGCACCGATTGACTGGGAAACTGCACCGCCTCACTGGGGCGCTGCCGAGAAGGAACGTTAGATAGATTGAGTGCTTGTCCACGGCCACTAAGCAACGAATTGGACTGATCGGGCATACACCCCGTACAAAACTGACAGCCAAGGGGGTAGACAGGGCCACATATCTCACACAGCCAATTGTCTTGCATCTGACGTTGGGCAGAATGATGACTTAGAAGACGAGTTTGTGCAGCGGCAACTCTCAACAACAAACGGTCGTCAGTCCTGCGCTGTCTGGCTCGTCTGTGCCAGGCTCCTTCTGGCTCGTCTCTTGGAATCGCGGCTGGCCACTGGACTAGCGGCTGGCGCGCTAGGCCCACGGAGATCTGACTGGGAAAAATTCAAAATCGCCAGAAACACAACGCACCGCCAGGAAATGCCTCCGACGGTTCGGGCCTAAGGAGGAGGAGATGGAGGAGGAGGAGGAAGAGGAGGAGGAGGAGGAAGGGGGAAGGAGGGGACCTGGAAAATGTGGATCTCGTGCACGAACCCCTCGGAGTAGCCGCCCTCCCGGTCGATCCGCTCCACCAGCCTGTCAAGTTTCACGAGGTCGCCTGGGCAGGCGCGCCATCCTACCCGCAAGAGCGGCTGCGGAAGCAGCAGCTCAGCAGAAGATCTACGAGGGGGCGCGCCCCAGGGACCTGGCCAAGGGTTGCGTGTAGGGGGCGTAGGAATGGAACCCCTCGTTGGTCTGACTACACGCGCCCTTCTTTTTCATCCGCCTCCTTACCTTTTCCTTTCTGCACTCTCCCCTCGCCTCCTCCATCCCGGTCTTTGATACCCAATGCCTCATCCCAGTCTCACCTCCGTCTCCCCCTGTCCCCTCCATTCCCCCTCCTCCCCGGATGACGTGCCACTAGCGAAAAGGAGGGGAGGGCAGAGGGAGGCCTCTCCTGCTGCGCTCCGCCCCGCAACAAGGAAGAGGTCGAGGGGGTGAGCGCTACGCCACCACGCTGCTCGCCAGGGTCAGCGCACCGGTGTAGCTTGTTCTGAATCTCGTGCTTGATGTAGAGCTTAATGTCCTTCGGGATGTCGTTGCGATGCGCGATGTCCCGGATCCGGGTCATGGGAACCGCGCAGGTGAACTCGTCGCTGAAGGACGGGAGCGACGGGAATATCCGCCGTGCAACGAAGAGCTCTGCGTCCCCCTGCTTCGCCACGTCCCACAGCGCCTCGGTGACCACCTGAGCGGCCTTCGCTGCCGCGTTCGGCCGATGGTGCCCTCCGTCCTCCTTGCAGACGATCTGCCCACTGGCGATGAAGGTCAGGTAGGCCTGAAGGCAGGCCAGCTCGCCGAGCGAGCCCAGCCGGTCCTCCTCCAGCAGCTGCCGGGGCAGCTCCAGCTTCAGCCGGTAGCTGGAGCGCGACCGGTCCTCCTCCGCGACGTGGGCGACGAACTCGTCGATGGACGAGCCGCCCGCCGCAAGCACCCGGCCCTGACCCGGCGGCCGCTTGGCGCGCTCCACGCCCGTGCGGTCGAACATGTGGACGCCGACCGGGGCGCCGGCCGCACCCCAGCGCCTGTTCTCGATGCCCTCCCAGCGGGGCTCCTCGGCGCCGCCAGGACGTGTCCACGTCCACTGCCGCGGGGCCGTGCCCTCAGGGCTCGCGGAGTGGTGGATATGTGGGCACCGACTATCCACATCCACCACTCCTCGAGATCCCAGGGCACGACACTCCGGAGCCGTGGGTGTGCACACCTTCTGGCGGCAGCTCCTTCCCGGGGCTGAACACGACGTACTTGAAGAGCGTGCCCGGGCCCACCCCCGCGGGCAGGCTCGGCAGGATCCAGAGCCCGTCGACGCTCTGCATCGCGCGCGCCGACGGCGGGCTCCAGGACCCCAGGCCCACGGCGTCGCCACAGACGGCCACGCAGGTGCCGGGCAGGTCCTGCCCCTTCGCCAGGCGCAGCTTCAGGACCGCCCCCTCCACGGTCCCGAGCGGCTCCGTCGATCTCGGCGGGGGCTGCTGCACGCAGAAGGCACCCCTGCACATCACCACCGCTCCGGGCCAGGGCGGGGTCGCCGTCCCCTCCCCACGACAGCGCAGGGCTCCCCGCGCGATGCCACTCCCCGGCGCCCGCCGGTGCAGCGGCGAGCGGGACGGCCTGCGCCTGGCCAGGCACGGCGGCGATGCGCGGGTGCCTTCTGCGGATGCTGGGCAGGCGCCTGGCCTGCGGCCGGTGGCGGCGTCTTCGCGTCGGGCGCCGGCCGGGGCCGCGGCTGGAGAGGCGCAGCAGCGGCGCCCGCGCCCTGCTGGCCGTGCTCGCAGCCAGGCTTGCCATACTCGCAGCGGACGGTGGCGCTAGGCGCGGGGCCGAGGCTGAGCTTCTTGTTGTCCCCGGCCTCCCACTTGGCCCCCTCGCCGTTCGCCTTCGCGATGACCACCTTGAACTCGAACTCGCCAGATGCGATGGCCACGTCCTTCGAGGCCCAGGTAGGAAAGGTGGCGGCGGTGGTGGTGCAAGCCAGGCCACCTTCGGCTTTCCAGCTGCCGAGCTCGGACGCGGACCCCACGATGAAGACGCTCTCCCCAGGCTGTGTGGACTTGCACTTCACCTGGAACTGCACGGTCGGCATCGCAGGGCCGCCGACGCAGGGCGGAGGGGTGAACGCTAGCGCCCCCGCGCGAGCCAGGAGAAGGCAGGAGGGAGAGGAGGAGGAGGAGCGCACGTAGCTCGCTGTCCCTTAGGTCTTACGAGGGGGAGGAGGAGGAGGAGGAGGAGGAGGAGGAGGAGGAGGAGGAGGAGGAGGAGGAGGAGGAGGAGGAGGAGGAGGAGGAGGCGGCGGAGGCGGAGGAGGCAGCGGAGGAGGACGACGAGGAGGACGAGGAGGGGGCACAGACTTGGAGGGCACAGACCTCTGGCGTCCTGGGAAACTCTGGGCGGCGGCTCCTTCGAGACTGTGGCCCCCGCCCACACGCGGGTGTCCAGGCGCCGATGCCCACGAGGAGCGGCCCGCGGCGCAGAGTCCTCGAGCTCCTCAGCCCCACCGGCGGGGAAGACTTCGGGGCGCCCGATGTCCGAGGAGGGATGACAGGGAGCCAACAAGCTGCACTACCGAGAGACCACACACACACACACACACTCATGTTACGTCCTGCGCGTTCGTATGCCGAGTCGTCTCCTGCACTTCCGAGCAATCCATGCGAGTGCTCTGGAGACTGTCGTCATCCACGCTGCCTCCTCCTGTACATCCTCCTCCTCCCCTCCCCCGCCTCTTCGGTCCCCCCTCCCCCATTTTGTCCTCCTCTTCCTCCGGCGACGAAAGAGGAACGAAGGACGCGGAAAAAATACTAGCTCGCAGCTGTTCGACGCATAGTCTGCGATCTGCACGTGCAAAATACACGTCGTTCATTTCTAATCGTGCTCATTTCTAATTGTGCTCGTTTCTCATTGTTCCTGGCCTCTAGTGGCCAGGAAGAGGCCCAGGATAGAACAATTAGAAATGAAAGGATCTTGGCCCCAAAAAAATCAAAGAACTTTCGAATACTTAGAAATGAACCATGTGTACGTATCCGAAAAGATACATCCACCTTCGACATAGAGACACCAGAGGCGTATAGAGCACGCAGTCGCTGACGAAGCCATATTCGACATATAGTCTCCTGAGGCGCACAGAGCACAGCGGAAATCCATCAACATCGGCATCTGCGCCGCTGTGCGACAGTGCCCAGCGCATCGAGGGGATATCCGTGACGTGCAGCCAGAATCTTGAACTCTAGCGATTTGGCTTCGGGGGGATCATCCCTCGAAGCCCCTCAGCAAGCTCGCGCCTCGCGTGGTCTTCGGAGGGCCACTGGCCGACCTGGGATGACTTTGCAGCGAGCCCGTCGTCGACCCACCACGCGCGGCAACGCGGCGCCTCCATTTCTCAATCGACTCGTCCATGCTGTCGGACGGTCTCGCCCCCCCTTGCCGTTGCTCGTGACTGGGCGATGGGGACAACCGATGGTGGGTCGGGCTCTGAACCTGCTCGGGCGCCTCGGCGGTAGCGTCGCTCACGTCGACGACTCCCCGCGAGGCCAGAGTCGGGTCGAGAGCCTGCGCAGCAGACGGATACGGCGCAGGCGGCTGCCGCGACGGCCTCTGCAGCGGTGCGGCTGGCGTCGCGCCTCGGCCCCGCGCTGCGCGGCCGCCCGCGGCCACGACCTCAACCTCGAAATGCAGTTCGTCAGGCGTCGTCACTGGAAGCATGCACGGAGACGCGGTGCCTGTGCCGTTCCGAATGCGGACGACGAACTCGGGGAGGCCGCCAGCCGATGCGATGGGGATGCAAGCGTGCCAATCGAGGAACCTTCAAGGAGGGGGCCCTTCGATGAGAGAAGAGAAGGAAGCAGACCCTCAGCATCAACTCCCTACGCTCCACTACGCTCTCGCACGTTCCCCTGCGCCACCCCCCCGACTCTCCCCTGCACCGGGGCCGCCGCTGATGCGGCTCCGAATCAGCTCCCTACGCTCCCCTGTGCTCTCCGCCCTCCTTCACTTTCAAACAGCTGTAGCGGTGCGACAGCGTCCCGCAGATTTTCAGCATAAAGCCTCCGAGCACGCGAACCGCCTCTGGCGTCGGGCAAGAGCCACGCCTGCCACGCTCTGGGAGTCTGACATGGATAGCGACCCAAGACGGTCCCAAGATGGTCCAATCGAGCCCAAGAGTGCCTCAAGAGGCTCCGAAGAGGCATCCTCCCCCTTTTCCTTTTTCCTCCTTCTCCTCCTCCTCCCCTTGCTCCCCCCCGCGTTCCCCGAAACCTTTCCAAACCGACTCGGGGAACACGTGGTCCGATAGCTTGGCCAAGCTCTAGCCCAGCTGTCGGACACATAGGCGCTTCCACAAGCGCAGGGGGCGGCGGTGATTCGCCGTAGGCGTCTTCGATCCGCCGCCCCGTTGACCCCTGTTGGTTCATCGCAGGGGTGCCTGGTGTGCTGAACCCTTTCGCTTTTGGTCTTGGTTCGTTTCCAAAAGAACTCCCCATGGGGCTTCGGCCCGTCCCGCCGGCCACCCGAAAGGCCGCACAAGGCAGCCTAAACCACCCCAACCTCCAAAAACATTCTCCATGACGGCTCAAGATGGCCTCTACGATGGTCACGTTCGCCAAAGATGGCCTCCAAGATGGCCCAAGATGGCCTCCAAGTCGTCAAAGATGGTCCAAGATGGCTTCCAAGACGGCCCGAGAGAGTCCAAGATGCCTTCAAGTTCGTCCAAGAAGCCTCCAAGACGGCCCAAGATGGCTCCAAGATGGCCTTAGACTACCCAAGAGGGCCCCCAGAGGCCTCCAAGAGCTCCACCAGGAAGGCCCGAAGAGGCCAAAAGCATTGATGTTCCTCTGGTGTTTGAAGGATTTGGGAATAGTTTTCTTTTTCTTCTTCTTATTATTCCTCTTTTCAGCTCTCAAAAAGCCCAAGACGGCCCAAGAAGCCCCCAACATCGCCCCAAGAGCGCCCAAGAGGCCTCCAAGGTGGCCTCATGACAAGCCAGGAGGCCCCCGAGAGGGCCCCAACAAGACCCCAAGACGGCCCAAGAGGCCCTCAAGACGCCCGAGATGGCCTCCAAGACGGCCAAGATGGCCTCCAAGATGCCCCCAAGACTGCCAAGAAGGCCTCCAAGACGGCGAAGATGGCCCCAAGATGCACCCAAGACGACCTCAAATGGCCTGAAGATGGCCTTAGACTGTCCATGCTCTTTTTGCTCTTGGCGGCGAACGGTTTCTGTTGCGAGACTGGACCAGAGCCTTGCTACTGCTGAGGGTTGGAACCAGCCCGACTGTGGGGCCAGCTCGCGATACAATTCGAATGGACAGACTGCTCAACACCCCCAGAAGGGAGGCGTGGGAGGGAAGCTTGAAGCCAGGATGGCAGAGGACGATCGCCATCGCAAATGTGCACTAAGGATGGACAGGCTGCAAGGGCAAAAAACCATCGGGTTTTTGCTAATCGCGCAAAGGCCGGGCGCGATTAGCAAAAACCCGATGTTTTTAGACGACTGTATTTTACAAGTCGCGACAGGTCGAGCTATTCAAGAGCATTCACGTGGTCCCCACAAACATGCTCTTTTTGCTCTTGGCGGCGAACGGTTTCTGTTGCGAGACTGGACCAGAGCCTTGCTACTGCTGACGGTTGGAACCAGCCCGACTGTGGGGCCAGCTCGCGATACAATTCGAATTGACAGACTGCTCAACACCCCAAACCATTAGGACCCAGGCCGAAGTTCACAGCCCAGGGGGGGCGGGGGGCCGGCAGGCCTCAGCGAAAAAAGGACGAGAATCATATCCAGCTCCTTTCAGTCCAAATCGGCGACAACAAAGCACGAGCCAGGGCGGCGGCAAGTTTCGGCGGGTAGGCCGCGGCTTCGCGCGCGCTCCGCCCCTCCAAAATTACGTGCTTCTTACCAGAGAAAGAGCAGAAACCGCGCCGACCTGTGCAGAGGACCGTGCCTGGGTGATCCAGGAACCCCAGGTCGAGATCGGCGCCTCCGAAAACCAGTCTAGTGGCCTTTCTATGGGGAGACCCGAAACTACAGCGATTCACAACGACAGCGCGGCTAATGGCGCGAGCCAACAAAGATTTCAAAGAGGGATCGTGCCAGACGTAGCTGCTGTGAGGATGCTCGAGACAGAAGGGGACGCGCATTCTGATGCAAAGTCTGATCACACGGAGCGAAAGGTCCAAGCACGCATTGCCCAAATTCACTTTCTCTCGCTGCGCCTCAGGAAGACCCGGCAAGCTTCGAGGAAACTCTCTACTGCGCAGCGGCACGTTGACATTCTGCACCACGGAGAAAGAGGTGCAGGGCGGGGCCAGCATCACGGCCAGCACCAGGCCGGCGAGGATGCTCGCGCACAGCCCGGCCTCCACGCACTGGCGCAGCACGTTGCCCGCGGGGCCGGCCTTGATGCCCCACTCCCGCGAGCAGTACCCGACGCGCCGCGCCGCCGCGGCCACTCGGCCAGCGCCGCTGAACAGCTCGGCGAAGAAAGGCGTCAAGGCCTCAGAGCCGGCGCCAGCAGCGGGCGCCCACGCGCGACGCACTCCTCGAGCAGGCGCTCGCAGTCGAGGGCGTGGGCCTGCTGCTCCGAGCTGAGCTCCCGCCAGGCGTCGTTGAGCCTGCCCGCCTTCTCGTAGCGGGCCACGCTCTTGGCCGCTCGCCATCGGCCTCTCTTCATGCACTCGTCTTGGCTGCGCTCGCGGTGAGCTCGATCGATCGAGATCCCGCTGCGGCGGCCCTGGCACGGCACCATCTTGTAGCCGAGGGCCGAGGCAGCCTGCACAAAACATCTGGTAGAACTGGCTGTAGTCCCAAGGAAAGATCCGCTCTTCGCCCGGCCCCTGGCTGAGATGCTCGAACACGTGGTCCAGCCAGGGCGTCCGAGTCGAGTCCATCACCACCGTGTCGTCCGCCTCCCCTGTCTTGCTCCTCGCCACGCCCGCGCGGCTGGGGAAAAGGAAAAGGCCCCACCTGGTCAGCCCGCCGCGGGCCGGAGGCAGGAGCGACCGGCGCTGGAGCGACAGGAGCTCCGACGGCCGCAGGCAGGCCTCCACCATCACGAGGACCGCGACCGCGGCGAGCCCGAACCCCATGCGCATCAGCTGCAGCGCCAGGGCGGCCCACACGGGCCACGGCAGCGGCCTCCGGCTCATGGGCGGGCTGAGGGTCCGCCAGCCTTTCAGGCAGCGGAAAGCCCAGACGAGCTTCCTCCATCCGTTGCAGCTGAAGGCCGGGAACACGAACATCACCGACGCCAGCGTGCTCTCGCCGCGCCAGGCCCTGCGGCCCGCGCGGAACTCGTCGTTCACCCAGCGCACGATGCAATCGTCGACCTCGGCATCCGCGCCGAGGGGGGCCGAGATCTTGTCCGCGTAGGCCACCAGCTCGCCGACGTGCGTCTGGTACCGAGCCCGCGTGGCCGCCTTCACGCTGTGGGCCTCCAAGTAAGTCTGGCCCGGCGGCAGCTCCTCGAAGGCCATGCGCCGCACCCGCGCCGCGGCGCGGCGGGCATCGGCCTGCGCCGACCCCCGGCTTGGCAGCTCCTCCTCGCAGCTGCTCTCGCTGTCGCCCTCGGCGGAAGCGGCGGTCGCGGCCGCGGCCTTGGCGTCGCGGAAGGGGTTGGCCGCCGCGCGGCCCCGCTCTGTCTGGGGCGCCTGCTCCAGGCAGGACGGCCGGGGCACCGGCCCCGCGCTCGCGCGCTTCGCCAATCCACTGCAGGCCTCTCGGCTCAGCCTCCGCGCTCGGCGCGGGCTGCGGCCCCGCGAGGCCGCCCGGCGGCCCCTCGCGCAGCCCGGCGGCAGCCCCGGCGGCCCCGTCTGCGCCCCCTGCGCCGCTGGCTGGCTCGGCGCGGGGCCCTGTGCCAGCAGACCCCGCGTCAGCACCCTCGCCCGCGCCGCCCGGCTCGGCGGCCGAATCCCTGGCTGAGGCGGCGGCCCGCGGGGAGGCGGGAGCGGCGGCTTGGCGAGCCGCTGCGTTGAGCTCAGACGGCTCCGGAATATGTCCAAGCTCGAGTGTGGTCCCGGCTCTCGGCCGTCCAGCTTGCGAGGCTCTCGGCCCTTTCGGCAGGAGGTGAGTGACACATGTTTTAGCTTCATATTCTCTCGCAAACAATCTGCCCCCCTCATCGCTGCCGTTGAACTCCGAAGGGATCCACCTATAACTGAACCGCAGGCCGCGCGCGAAGGCGCACGCGGCCGTCCGCCGAATCATCGTCAGCAGCTTGAAGTCGCGGGCCCGCGAGCGCGAAAAGGCGAGGGTCACGGCCATGTTGTCCCCCAGCAGAAGGACCCGGCCGTCCCGCCCTGCGCGCGAGCTGGCCACGCGCTCCACGGCCTTCACCACAGCCCGGCCCTCGAGGTGCACGATCCCCTCGTCGAAGGCCCAGCGATCGGCCAAGACCGTCCGCCAGCGATCGCGGCGCAGCAATTCCGCGGGCACCTCCTCGAAGTCGGGGTCGACACTCCAGCGCGCTACCTCCACCTCGGGAATGCCTGGCGGCCGGGCCTCGGGCGGGCCGACGGCCCCGTCGGCCAGCACCTGCAGCCCCGCGGCCTCCACGGCGCGTTGCCGCGCCGCCTCGGCAACCAGGCGGTAGCGCGACCGCTCTGTCACGCGGCCCACGCGCCCCACGTCCTTCGGGCCCCACACCGAGTAGGCCAGCCCGACGCCATCGAGGGAGGCGTCCGACTGGTAGACGCCCAGCAGCCACCGGGCGTCCCAGTCAGCTTGCAAAAAGATCATCAGACCAAGGAAGGCGCGCAGCTCCTCAGCCACACTGGGCCACAGCCCAACACGCTCGAAGTAGTGCCGCTGGATGAAGCGGTAGATGCAATGGAAACAACTGAGGCTCTCGCGCCGCACCAGGCCCACGAAGGTGAGGTGGCCCACCACGATCTCCAGCTCGAGCCTGCTGACAGCTCGACGGCGCAGCAGGGCCTGTACCGCCCCGCGGATCCGCCAGAACCGAGCCGGCGTAGGGCGGGTGCACCCAGCGCGGCCATCGAGCTGCACGCCCAAGGCCTCGCCACCCTCATTCGTCACGGCGGTCTCATGGACCTCGAGGCCGACCCCGCCGAAGGACGAGATGGCCCCCTCGAGGCCCCGGCGGACCGCGCCCTCGGTCGTGCCCAGCACCCCCATGTTGTCCACGTAGGCGTAGTGGCCCATGGAGCTCGGGCGATCCAGGATGAGGGGAGGCCCGCGGTCAGTCATGACGGGCGCGCCCTGCAAGGAGGGCACCTTCAGCATGCGGCACGAGTTGGCCGACTGCGCGAAGAACAGCGACCAGGCCCAGCCCATCGGCAGCGCCCGCGCAAGCGGGTAGACCAGCGTGCTCGGCGCCAGCCGCGCGCCGTCCAGCTCCGTCAGCCGCAGGTCGGCGGCCCGCAGGGGAGGGTGCCCGAAGTACTCCTGCAGGCCCGGGCCGTCCTCCAGCAGCAGCCGGTGGAAGCAGTCCTTCACGTCGCTGACTCCGAGCCAGGTGTCGAGGCCCGCCAGCGCCGCGTTGGCCCCCCCCGACTCGCCGTCGCCCGGCGGCCACCCCCGCTCGACGCGGCTGAGGCCGCCCCCGCTGACGAGGTCCACGCCCGGCGGGCTCTTGAAGAGGCGGTTCGCTGGACGACAGTCCAAGATCAATCGTTGACGGTCGCCCTTCTTCTTGACGAAGAAGAGCCCGACCTGGCATCGGCATGTGGTCGACATCCTCACCGGGCCGACCTTCAGCAAGCGTTTCACCAGACCGATGTAGGCGGGCCGCTTGCGCTTCAGGATGGGGTCCATATAGGGTCGAACTGGACCGCAGCGTGCATGTAGCTCTCGAAATCCTTCAACTGGATCCGCGCCGCCTCCGACAGAAGACTCAAAACTCTCGGCGACCCAGCAAGGTCGTCCGGGGTCGACAGCCGGGCGTGGGAGAAGGGGGTCAGCGTCGCGTGGGCCAGCTGGGCGTAGCCGCCTCGGCCCCGCAGCAGGCGCGCCAAGCACTGCTGCGAATCCTTCGCGCTGTCCGGGCCGCCCCAGCTCGCCGCCAGGAGTTGGGCCCGTCGCTGCGTCTCACGCCGCAGCTCCGCCACGCGGCAGCGCGTGGCCCAGCTGGGCGCCGCCGGGGGCGGCCGCCGATCAGCACCACGCATCCAATTTAGGCTGGACAAGCCCTCGTTCGCCAGCCGCCGAACTCGTGGCCGATCGCGACGTCCAAGGCGGGAAGCGACGTCGGCGTCCAGCTCGCGCAGCCCTGGGACAGGGTAGACCTGGCCGCCGAGCGTGGCCTCTGCTTCAAGGCCGGGGGGCGGCCTCACCCCCGGCCCCTTGCCCGTCATTTCGACTGGGCGGCGGCTGTCGACTCGCCGGGCTTGGTCTTCCGCCCGCGACCGCGACCGCCACCGCCCTTGCCGCCGTCATCTGCCCCAGCGCGGGGCAGGCCGCCTGTCTCCAGCGCGCCCGTCACCTCGTCGGCACCGCCAGCCCCGCGGCCGCCAGGCCCCAACGCTCGACTGCGTCCCAGGGCAGCGAGCCGCTCGGACTCGTCGCGAGCCGCCCGATTCGCGAAGTTGCGGAGCTCGGGCGACACCACGTCGAAGGGGTCACTCGTCCCCGTCAGGAACCTGCCTGCCTCCAACGCGGCCGGCTGACCAGGAGCCACGCGATAGGCCTCGCTGATCTGGGCCACTCGGCGGGCCGCCACCTCCAGACACGCCAGCCCGCCTAGGTTCAGCGCGTCGAACGTCGCGACCAGCCAGAAGATCGTGACCAGACAGTTCAACTCGTGCCATGTCCGGTCACGCTGACTCACGCCGTACTCGCGGCAGAAGTTGCTCATCCACGTTTTGGGGTCGCCGCCGTGCTGCGTGAACCGATGGCAGAGGTGGAGGGCCGTGCCGGCCCCGCGCAGCTCGCACCCGTCCAGGGCCTCCGAACTGCTCTCCCCCACCGCTCGGCGCCATTCCTTGAAGCGGACTCCCTGTTCGTTCCACTCCACCGCGGTCGTCCGCACATCGTCGGCTGCGGGCCCCGCTGTCTCCTCGCGCGGCGTGGGGGTGCCACCCACCTCCTCGCGCGGCCGGTCGGCCAGCGCCTCGCGGAGGTCAAAGGGGCTGGGCCGTCCGGCCTCCTCGGCTGGCGGCGGGGACAACGGGGCCGGCAAGGGAGCGGCCATCCGCCCGGCGTTGTCAAATTCCTGGGCCCGCCACCTCTCGACCTCGGAGACTGGCACCCGCTCGCAAAGCACCGGCCGGCCGTCGGGCCGCCGCGCGATCACCTTCGGCCCCGCCTGGACGTCCTCGGGGCCCGGCGCCACCTCGTCGCCCAGCCGGAAGCCGCCGCCTGCCTGCACCTCCGCCACCAGCAGCACCGACTCCTCACCTTCCAGCGGCGGGGGCGCTAGGACGGGCCGGCTAGCAGCCTCGTCCCCGGGTGACTCGGGGACCCGAGCGCCCGTGGCCAAAGGCCGCTTGCCCCGCAGGCGCCGCCGCGCGGCCTCCAGCACGCCGATGTCCAGGCCGCACTCGTCGCCGTGCCAGTCCACCATGCTCGTCGGCTCCTCGCCCAAGTGGGCCCCCAGCGCGGACGGGAGGCGACGTCGGCGCCGCTCCTCGCGCGCCAGTTCGCGGCCCTCCAGCACCATCTTTTGCAGCGTCTCGCGGTCGATCTCGTCGCGGAACCTCACCGTTGCCCCTGAAATTCTCGGGCCAGCCGTGGAGCAGCGACACGTGCCAGACCCAGTCGGCCCGACGCTCCACGTAGCGGTCGCCGTCCGCGCTCTCGATGACCCAGCACTCGTGCCTGCGGTCCAGATGGACCGGCCAGAGCAGCACCCGCTCATGGGCCCACTCATCTCCGACGAACCGCACCAGCAGCCGCGCCCCCGGGCGCCTCTCGTCGCGCGTCGACATGTTGGCGAAGGGCGCCGCCTCGTGGGGCCTCCGACGCCGCGCTCCAGCGGCCGACGAAAAACGCCACCACCAGCGCCACCAGCCAGAGCAGCCACCACTCCGGGCGCTCCTCCGCCTCGCACGCGGCCGCCGCCAACACTGGGGGCGGTGCGGGCTCGGCGCACACGCACGCCGGGCAAGGTGGGGCCGGCGGGCAGCTCGGGCAGGCCGGGCAGGGCGCCGGGTGGCAGTCGGGGCACGGCGGACACGCCTGCGGCCCCGCGAACGCCACCCGCGCCGCCTCGGCCACCGCCCCGCGCGCCAGCTCCCGCAGCACGCCGGGAGCCGCCGCCGACACGGCCGCGCAGAGGCTCGCCACCATCCCAGGTGGCGCCAGGCCCTCGGCGCGTGAAAGCTTGAAGCCAGGATGGCAGAGGACGATCGCCATCGCAAATGTGCACTAAGGATGGACAGGCTGCAAGGGCAAAAAACCATCGGGTTTTTGCTAATCGCGCAAAGGCCGGGCGCGATTAGCAAAAACCCAATGTTTTTAGACGACTGTACTTTACAAGTCGCGACAGGTCGAGCTATTCAAGAGCATTCACGTGGTCCCCACAAACAAAAGGCCCGCCAGAAGCCTCCAAGACGGCCCAAGACCCCTCCAAGACGTCCTCCAGGAGGCCCGGAAGCTCAGAAACCACCTGGTCCGATAGCTCGCCCGACTCCGTGTTCCCCGAAGGCTTTCGAAACCCACTCGGGGAACGCGAGGCCCGATAGCTTGGCCAAGCTCAAACCCAATTTTTCGGCAACGTAGGCGCTTCCGAAAAGGCAGGGGGTGGCGGTGATTCGCTATAAGCGTCTTCGATAACGCCAACGTTTCAATATGCGCTGATGACTCCTATCCGCCCCCGCATGCTGTTCCCAGATGCGCCAAGGCAGCGCCGAGACGCACCGACGCGACTCTCGCATATCCCATGATGATAGAGAGGGGGCCGGCGGCAGGGGGGCGAGGCCCTTACGGATAAAAAATCGCGCGGCACGCCGCGCACATCGGGAAAGAGCAGGCAGCCCCGTGGCCCGGCTCAGGCGCCGTTCTTGAACGTGCCGTCCTTCTTCAGCATGCTCTTCCTCGCGGCCTCGGCCTGCATCTTCTCCTTCGCCTTCTGGAGCCGCTCCTCCTTCGTCGGGATCTTCTTCACTCCCCCCTTTGTCCACTGCTTGCCCTCCTCCGCGCGCGCGACGCCCGACAGGCCGACGAGGAGGCCCAGGGCCGCCGCCCCCAGCGCGAGGCGACCAGCGCGCGCCGTGGCCTCGGGCGCGTCCGGCGCGGCCCCCTCGGCCGCCCCTCGGAGGGCGCCCGGCTGGGGCGGCTGGGGCACCACGCGCGCGGACGGCGCCAGGAAGGCCGGGCACGCCGCGCACAGGAGCGCCGCGACGCAGGCGACGGCGAGCAGACGGCCGCCCATCGCGGAGAAGCCCGAGGACGCTGCCGAGGAGAGGCGTGCGGCGCAACGCGCACCACGTCGAGCCGAGCGACGCCTGCGGTTGGCCGCCGCCCTGCGCCGCCGCCGCCGCCGCCGCCCCCGCCGCCGCCGCCGTCCTGGCTGGTCCCACAGTCCCGCAGGCGCTGGGAGAGCGTGCGGGGCAGCAAGCCCGAGAGGAGGGGCAGGGGCAGGGGGGAAGGTGAAGGACGGGAGGACCAACAGGGAAGGGGCCAGATGGTCGGGAAGTGGGCCAGTACAGCGCCTGGAGACTCCGACGCTCCGATATTACATACGCGCGTGCAGATCTGACTGCGTGCGTGCGCACACAAGGCAATATATGCACTGGTGGGCGGATGTGTGCGGCGCAGCACGGTTGCACATGGGCTACAAGAAGCTATGCTCTCGGCTGGCGAGTTCCGCGGATGTGGCGGGCAGGTCCCTTCCTCCCCCTTGCCCTGGGAGACCGCCCGCTAAGTTTTTACACGAGACCCAGACCCTGGCACAAAAGGCAGCACTTCTTGTGGCCGGGCTGGGCTAGATGTGCGCATGCATGCTCCCAAACAGCATGGCAAAAGCCACTGGCCCAAAACCATGGAGGAGAGCTACCAGAGCCCCTGCAGGCGGGCGCGGACAGGAATGAGGGGCTGCATCGGGTTCGAGCTAGAATGGCCAAGACTGAAGACCAGCGAAGACGCTTGTCTTCCAGAAAGAACCAGCCGCAAAACAATGATCAAGCCTGCCGCAAGCGCCGATTACAACTTACGCCACACAATAACTGCCGACTCGCGGCAACAAACGGTGTGCGCTATGCTTGAAGAACGAATCATAAACAACATGGGGATAGAAACGCCCGCCAACCTGTTTAAGGAGTCCCCACGACGGCAGCGGGCCTCAGGCCGGAAGGAGAAGAGGCAGAAGATAAACGCAGCGACGGTTTTTGCTCGCCCTGGACCAGCCAAAGCGCGTGCGACTCCATAAGGTTCTTAGCTGTGCAGCGCACGGCGGGACGCCAAGCTTCCAAAGAGCAAGCTTGAAACTTCAGCCTCAAGCTTGAGCATGAAGCTTCAGCCTCACGCTTGAGCTTGAGCTTAATATGGTCTGGATGGTCTGGTTGGACTGGTTTAAGCTTAGTCCTGAAGCCTTAGCTTAAGATCGGGGCGACAGTGGTTTAGGGGAGGTCCAGGGAGGCAGCGCCAACAACTACGACGACCACCGAAAAACAGTTGCTCTTGCATTGCAATGTTTGTAGCTTTGCAGCTTTTTATTGCATTGCAGGTTGCTTTGCATCTGGTCTGACTAGTCTGGCTGGTCTGGTTTGAGCTTCGCCCTGGAGACTTAGCTTAGGATTCGGGCGAGAGTGGTTTAGGGGAGGTCCAAGGAGGCAGCGCCAACCACTACTACGACCACCGAACAACAGTTGTCGTTTGCATTTCAGTTGTTGTTTCCTTGCACTTGTTGTTTGCATTGCAATTGTTGGTGCATCTGGTCTCGCTGGTCTGGTTGGTCTGGTTTGAGCTTGCTGCTCAAGCTTTAGCTTAGGATTGGGGCGAGAGTGGTTTAGATGAGGTCTAGGGAGGCAACGCCAAACACAACGACGACCACCGAAAAACAGTTGTTCTGCATTGCCGTTGTGTTTGCTTCGCAGTTGTGTTTTGCATTGTTTGTTGCATCTGGTCTGGCGGGTCTGGTTTGAGCGTCGTCTTAAAGCCTTGGCTTAGGATTCGGGCGAGAGTGGTGCGAGGGAGGTCGAAGGAGGCCACCGACAAAAAAAATGTTGTTTGTGCATGGCAGATTGTTTAACATTACAAAATGTGTTTGCATCTGGTCTCGCTGGTCTGGTTGGTCTGGTTTGAGCTTCGTGCTGAAGCCTAAATTTGAAGTTTGTCTTCTATTGCAGCTGTTTTGCATCTGGTCTGGCTGGTCTGGTTGGTATGGTTTGAGCTTCGTGCTGACGCCTTAGCTTTGCAATTGCTATTTTGCGTTGCAGTTGTTGTTTGCATATGGTCTGGCTGGTCTGGTCGATCTGGTTTGAGCTTAGTGCTGGAGCTTTAGCTTGGGATTTGCAGTTGTTGGTTTTCGCTTTGCAGTTTTCTTTGCGTTGCAGCTTTTCTGTTGCATCTGGTCTGGCTGCGCTTAGGATTCGGGCGAGAGGGCTTTAGGAGCGCTTCAAGGAGGCAGCGCCAACCACTACCACAGCAAAACAGTTGGTTGTACATTCCAGTTTGTCTTGTTTTGCAGCTTTGTTTGCATTTAGTGTAGCTGGTCTGGCTGGTCTGGTTGGTCTGCTTTGAGCTTATCGCTCAAGCTTTAGCTTGGGATTCGGGCGACAGTGGTTTAGGGGAGGTCCGGGGAGGCAGCGCCAACCACTACCACAGCAAAGCTGCAGTTTCGTTGCTAGAACTTCAGCTGCACTTGTGTAGTAGCTGAAGTGTCGCTGTAGTTTCGCTGCTAGAGCTTCAGCTAGCTTAAGTTGATCTGGCTCGTCTGGTTGGTCTGGCTGGTCTGGCCGGTGTCTGGTCTGGCTTGCAAGGGAAGGACGCTGGAAAAGCAAACGCTTTAGAGCACAAACCCTGTAGCATGTTTGCCAGGCCCTCTATCCCGCCGAATGGAATAACTGGCTCCCAAAGGGAACAAAGGAGGAGGAAGATAAGGAGGAGGAGAAGGAGGAGGAGGAAAAAGATGACGACGACGAGGAGAATGAAGAACCGCAAGAAAAGCCAGGAGAGGACGACGACAAGACCCGCGAGGACGAACGCGAAGAGGGGGACTAGCAGGATGACGTTGAGTAGGAGGAGGGCGAGGAGGGGCAGGAGGACGAGGAGGAGGAGGAGGAGGAGAAGGAGGCTGACGGTTCCAGGGCCCAGCGACCGTTCTGGAAGGGCCGAAATCAAACAAAAAACGACGTCGTCGCCATCGTCCTCGTCCTCGCCCTCCACTTCGTCGTCGTCGTCGGCGTTGTCGTCGTCGTCGTCGTCGTCGTCGTCGTCGTCGTCGTCGTCGTCGTCGTCGTCGTCGTCGTCGTCGTCGTCGTCGTCGTCGTCGTCGTCGTCGTCGTCGTCGTCGTCGTCGTCGTCGTCGTCGTCGTCGTCGTCATGGTCGTCGTCGTTGTCGTCGTCGTGGTCGTCATCCTCCTGCCCCTTGCGTCGCCGCAGCCAGGACGGGACCGAAAGCGCTGCTGCGTCAAGTCCGGCTGCGGCGGAAAGGGAGGTGGGAAGGGAGGGAACATCAGCAGCCATATCAGTTCTGATGCCCTCGAGAAAGTAAGGTGCTGGGGCATCAGAACTTTTCGCCTCGAGCGGCTAGAATATGATTTCGCGCGAGCGGAACCCCTTCACTCCAATGTAGTCGTATCGCAGACTGGTCGAGTCGAAGACCGAAGACACCCAAGATCGGCACCCGTCGGTCAATGCATGGTCAGCGCAAGTCTCGAATGGTGAAGACCAGCCCTAAAGGGCAAACGGGAAAGACGAGCTATAGGGCTCAACACGATAGCTCCCGGCCTGACATGGAACATACAAAAACGGACGCTAATCGGCACCGCCATGTCTTCTCTAAAACCATTGCTTCTCGGCAAAAGAGCGCGGGGCGTGCCGCAATGTCCGAGGGCTCCACGCGTCCGCGTGGCTCCAAAGTGGCCAGGCGAGAGCGCAGGATGCCAGAGTCCAACGGCCCCGGCAGAGAAAAAATCGCGCGGCACGCCGCGCACATCGGGAAAGAGCAGGCAGCCCCGTGGCCCGGCTCAGGCGCCGTTCTTGAACGTGCCGTCCTTCTTCAGCATGCTCTTCCTCGCAGCCTCGGCCTGCATCTTCTCCTTCGCCTTCTGGAGCCGCTCCTCCTTCGTCGGGATCTTCTTCACTCCCCCCTTTGTCCACTGCTGCTTGCCCTCCTCCGCGCGCGCGACGCCCGACAGGCCGACGAGGAGGCCCAGGGCCGCCGCCCCCAGCGCGAGGCGACCAGCGCGCGC